ATATACCTGCTCTTGCTTGTTTAGCGTTATATATATGTAATCTTGCATGTGAACTGGCCTTGTGGCCTTGAACTTGCGCTCAGAATGTGTGGTGACGTTGTGATCCACCCTGAGCTTACTTTACCTTGCTTTGCCTTGCTCTGCTTGACCCCTTGTTCTCCCCCAGGGGAGGAGGGGATGACCTCGGCGTCCTCATCATTTAGCTCACCGACCTCGGCAAACAGAGGGAGTGGCGCCGTCGAGGTATCGGTCGGCGGGCTGACCAGCGTCCGCCCCGACGCCGGCCCGTGCTCCGACTTCCACACCTCCAGCGACATGGTTTCGTAGAACACCACGTCCGACGTGGTGACCATCCGGTTGTCTGTGATGTCGAGAAGCTCCCAGCCCTTGCTCTCCCCTGACACAGCGAGATGAAGGCCCCACCTGGCCTTCGGCTTCAGCTTCCCACTGCGCTGCTGCTCGGAAACCAGAAACTGCGCCATGCAGCCCCACACCCATGCCAGCGACAAGTCGGCTTCTTCTCGGTTAGCAGCTGGTACGGCGTCGTCCCCGGCGGCAGCGCCGACCGCTCAAGGTAGATGCGGACCCAGACGGCCTGCCGCAGAGCGAGGTGCCACCAGTGATGCTGCACGCCCATGTGCAGCAGCATCGTCCGCACCGACTCCACCACCGTCCGCATCTCCCGCTCAGCCATGCCGTTCTACTGCGAGGTGTAGGGGCAGGTCAAGTCGTGGACGATCCCCTTGCCGTCCACGAAGGCAGTGAACTCCTTCCCCAAGAACTCCCCTCCCCGGTCAGAGCGCAGCATCAGCACCGGCTCCTTTGACTACCGCTCAGCCACCGCCAGCCACCGTTGGAATTCCCACAGCACGTCCGACTTCTTGGCGATCGGCCTCACCCGCACATAGCGAGTCTTGCGGTCCTTCAGCAGCATGAAGTACAGGCTCCCATCCTTGGCGGCCACCCAGAATGGCCTGCACAGGTCGATGTGTACGACAGCCAGGGCGTCCTCGGCGTCCGAGCCCTTGTCAGGGAAGGTGTGCCGCGCCAGCTTCCCGCCGACGCACGAGACACACGGAGAGTCGGTGCCGGCCGACGGCTTGATGTCCAGGCCGGTAGCGACCTCATTCTTCGCCGAGCTCGTGATGGTGTCGACAATGCCGACGTGCGCAAGCCTCGCGTGCCACCTGACCGGCGTCGACTTTGTCGCCGAGACTATCGCCCGCAGTGCCACCACCTTCGATGTGGTTGGCTTCCGCTCCCCCGAGCAAGGTCGAAGGTCGGTGCAGAGAACCCGGCCGGTGTACGTCGCCCGACCAAGCACGTCCCCCACCGCCGAGACGAGTAGCATCCTATCGCCATCGTCCTGCAGCTTCACGCCGTTCTCCTTCAGCTGGCCGGCCGAGAGCAGGTTTGCCTGCACGCCCGGTACGTATAGGACATCGGGGATGAGCACCCGCTTTTCGGCTGCGCCTTGAAGGGCGACAATGCCTCGGCCTCGGACGTCCTGCAGTGCTCGGTTGAAGCCGCACATGCTTGATATCGCCGCTCGGCTCCAAGTCGATGATGGCATCCTTCGTCCCCATCAGGTGGTGCGAGCAGCCGCTGTCGAGCAGGACCACTGCCGGGTTAACTTGCACGGCTGCTGCCACCGCCTGAAAATCATCACAGGCCTACGGCACCAGTGAGACAGTCGGCTCCACGACGCCGACCACCGAGCACGACGCCTCCCTGTCGTCTTGCCCCTTACCGCTAGCAGAGGAGCCGATGTATGTCCTTCGCCGAGGTTGACTTGTTCGACTGCTTCTCCTTACGCGGCCTGCTTCCCTGACGTGGACAACGACTCGCCGACCTCCCGTGGTCTCCCTTGGCGTCGTCCTCGTCGGACCCACTCCGGTCGGGGCGCTCAAACAAGAGGTGGTACAGCACTCCCGACGCCAACCTCCTCCTCCGAAACCGCTGTCCTTGGCCGACTTCGACTTGTCGGCGTCCTTCGCCAGCTTGCCGCCTCCGCTACCACCACCGCCAGACTTTCCGCGCTGCCCCGGTTGGCCACCATGTTTCGCCGGGCTGTTTGTTCACCTGCGGCAGGAGCTCCGAGGACCGCTCGGCTTCCTGCATCGCCTCGTCCCGCAGGATGTACGAGGTCAGGGAGTCCTCGTTGAGCGTCGCCCGCGTGCTCGGCACCACCGACAGCCGCTTCAGCAGGTTGTAGCTGCCGAAAGCCCTTTCAGGACGTACGTGACATACGACGCCATTGAGTATTGCACGCCGGACATCCTCACGGTGGCAAGAAGTCGCCGAGCCCGGTTGCAGTAGTCGGTCGCAGTCTCCTGGTCGCCCATCCGCAGATGCGTCATCTGCTCCTCGAGCTGGCCGATGTACAGGTCGTCGGTAACCTGGTACGTCGACTCGATGAAGTGCCATGCCTGGTGGCCGGCGTCCAAGTAGTCCCTGCACGACTTCAAGGCAATCTACACGCCCAGCGAGTAGCACCGCGAAATGACCGTGAAGGTCAGCAGCTGCACGACGCGAAAACCTGCACGCAGCTCGGGGTAGTTCTTTGACGGCGTCGCCACGGTGCCGGCGGCGAAGCCCATCAGCCCGGCCATCTCCAGCTGAGGCTCGATGGCTTCCTTCCAGGTGAGGATGTCGGGACGACCGACCAGCAAATGGGTGACAGAGATTCTGTCCGGCGTAAATTTGAAGTAGTCGTAGCTCGGAGCTATCCCGCCCACTATCACGTGGGTCACCGTCATCGGCGTCACACTGCTTTGACGTGCTCCGACGTCGCTCTGCGAGGACCCGGCAGCCGCCGATGATTGCATTCCTCGCGCCTGAACGCCGCTGACTAAGTTCATCGGCGTGTATCACACCTCTCTGCCTCGACGTGCCTCCCGCACTGCTGCCGACTTGGATACCACCGTCGACGCCCACATCGTCGATGCCCACGTCGACGCCGTCTGCAGTGTTGACCGGTCGAGGAGAACCAGGTCGAGAAGCGTGCTCCGCTGCCAACACAGCGCGAATGCCAGTCTCGACGACCACCCAGGGGAGCGTCTCCCCGTACTCACGGGCCTCATGGCGTCTCCTCGCATCCTCCAGCCGTAATTCCAGGGTGTCTACCACCCCTGCGTCACCTACGACGCCTACCATAGTGACTAACGTACAGCTGCTGGCCTACGAACACAATAGGTAAGTGCAAAAGTCGGCTAGATCTGCAGGTCGCGTGTTCGTTCCATGCTCTTCGCACCATGAGGAGATAGCTCTATACTACAACGGGAGCTAGACGACGGGCTAGGCACGGGTGTGAGAGTGATCTCTGCGTTCGTTCCTTAGTCGTTTCCTTGTGCTCTCACTACTTGCTGGTTCACGGGGGAATTTTGCAAGAGTTTCACTAGCGAAAATTGACAATAATGGTGGCAACAACATTGGCATGCAAGACTACATCAGAGCTAGCACAGCTGCTGGTCGATAGCCAGCGCAGCATGGTCGACCACGTGCCAATACGACTTGGTCGACCGTGCTCCAGCAGTGCACGGATGCGGCTCGCCAACGTTGCAATTCTACGGTGTGCCAACGCTGCAGCAAGTCGACTGCACAGCGTTGCACCCGCAGGACAACGGTGCACCTGCTTCGTAGGGGAGTGCGGCCGATTGGTGCTCCACGCCCTGTCACGAGCAGAGCGCAGACGCCTGGCAGAGTCCACGCCAGCGACTGCGCCCACCAGCCACGTCGATCTCGGGATACCACTTCCGAGGGTCTCGCTGAAGCCACCCCGGCGACGTTCGCACACCTCCGCAGACGCTCCGTCGCCCGGGTAACACGGTCGACCGGGCAACCAGGCCGACACCGCCACGTTGGCGTCACCCCTGGTCGGCGTCCTCTCGTCGACCACTTCGGAACTGGGCCGCCGACTTTGCCAAATCGTCGACCACCACAGGTCGGCGTCCAGAAGTCGGCGCTTCGCACCAGGTCGACCACCCTTATCTCGGCACCCTCGCAGTGGCTCCCCGTGCAGGTCGACCAACCTCGTCGACCAGCGCGCCTACTGCTGCAGGTCGGCTGCTCCCCGGCACATCCGACCAAGAAGTCGGCTCCGCCCAAGCGAGGACGGGGCCTCACAACGACTCCCGTTGACAGGCCACGCCTAGTTGGCCTTCCTGCCGGGTGCCGGGTGGCCTTCCTGCTGGATACACATCGGAGCAAGGAACAAAGGGGCAGGGGTGGGTAGGAAGTTACGGGGGAGCAGCGGACAAGCATGAAGGTTGAAGCGTTAAGCCTGGTGTATGGAGGGGAATAGGCCATCCTGCCGGGCGGCACCGTGCGGTCGTGCACGCCTGAGCAAGGATGGAGGGGGCGACCGAAGCTGGTAGACAGAGAGTAGTCCCTCAAAATGTGGGACGAGAGGGGTGCCACGAGGGGATGACTAGAGCTCTTGTAGCACATGCACATGGGAGAAAGAAGGGGAGATGTTGTAAGCTTGAAGTCCCAATGGTCTTGGACGGTTCAGAGAGGCCAAAAAAGGCGGAGAGTGGTTTAGAGAGATCCCCAGCTTCACAGAGCGCGACGCAGTGCAGCGGTGACTCACAAAGCCTGAGCCAGAGGCCGTAGGAGAAGTTCCACGTGGTGACGAAGTCGAGGCAAGTCTAAGGGAACTCGAACCCCAGAATATCCCCATTCCGCGCCCGGTTCCACAGTGCCTTCCCCTCCTCCGCAGACGCCGCACATGTCTTATCACCCTCCTCCTTCCCTACATCCCCATTCCCCTTCGCCCCTCCCACTTCCCCCTTCGCATCCCCGCCCTTCCCTGTCTCCCCCTTGGGGGTCTCCTAGCCGCTGAAGCCTAGCCCGCCGACGACCATGGCGGCTTCCGTGATGCTCCAGAGAATGTACGCGCGGAAGTGCCACACGATGCTAGCCTTGTGCGCGAAGAGCCAGCGAAGGTGGAAGGGGTAGGCGCGGTTCTTGCGCAGGTCGCTGATGCACGTGAGGTCGAGCTAAGGGGAGACCAGCAGGAAGACGATGGCTGCAAGGATGCCCTGCACCAACGCGCGGAAGAACGGCGCGATGACGGTCGGCTGCTTGAGACTCGGGCACCAGATCTGTAAGGAGCGAGGAATGGGATGGGTGGGAGTTTACAGAAGGATAGGGGATGAAGTGTGTGTGTGCGTGCGTGCACCACTGCTGATGTTCTATCCACAAGGTGCGACACACGAATGCGAACTGTAGGAGCTCGAGACCTGGAGATTGCATGAATGGGGCGGCGCAACACAATCCAGTGATATGAATAAGCATATGGAAGCACGTTGCTTTCCCTGTGCGTACCCCTTGTCGCCAGGTCCAGTCGTCGTACGCCTTGAACTCGAAGAAGGGGCCCGTCATGTGCAGCCCGAAGCAGAAGAGGTACCCCATCAGCTCCAGCAGCGACGGCATGGTAACCAGTGCCGCCTTTCACCGCTCCAATCGCTAACGCTTCATCCGCTCCTCGCGCCGCCTCTGCTTCTCGGTCAGTTCCTTCTTCTCTCGGTCAGTTCCTTCTTCTCCTTCTTGTCCTTGGCCTTGGCGCCTTCATCCTTATCCTTAACAGCGTGAGCCCGTCGTGGTAGTTATAATCGACAATGGTGAGCTTTGTAGCGAGGACGGTGAGCACCCCTGTGCAGTCGAGCACGCCCTCCGTGCGGGTCTCGTGGGTCCGCATGATAATGTGGCTGGAGGAGGCTGTGTCAAACAAAGGAAACGCATGGTACAGACGGAATATGCCAACACTGGTGAGTTCCGGAAGTGTAGAAATGATGAGTATGTTACTGACGTTGGAAGAGGTCGAAAATTGTGGTAGGGGTGGATTCGAAGAGAGCAACGGAATCGTTGGCATTGGTTTAGAAGCCGCTTAGCGTTCGCGTAGGCTGTCCACTGAAAGTGCTATTGTTCTGGTCTTGTGATTTGACTCGCGCCATGATTCCAAATCAAAAGAACACCATAGTTGGGAACGCCAAGAGGGGAAACTTACCACCCGATCAAGTACGTGAACGTTCCGAAGAACGTTAGCACGCCGCAATTTCTCCGAAACAGGCGCATGACGTCCATGGAGTAGAGAATGCACACGAAGAAGTGCGCGTATGCCATCCATTCGAACACGAATGCCGATAGTATCAGTCTTGTTACAGTGCAGTACAGATGGCGGAGTGTAGGCGAGGAGATGAATGTGTGAAGCAAAGCGATTGGCACGAACGCGAAGCTAGCTAGCAGGAAAGTCGCTGCTGGACAGGGTGTGGCGATGAGGCCGGCGAAAGCCTGTACGGGATCCATGGTGGACCCCAATACAACAAAAATCAATGGACCGATTCAACAGTGAAAGACGTGGTGAGAGGTTGTTCAACTGCTTGAACTAGAAGTGATCACTTGCTCCCTGACTCTTGTCCAACTTACAACAGATTCTACAATACGAGGCAAGAGCTATCTAGTGACGCTCAAACTCCTTTGGGCACTGACGAAAATGTCACGGTGGAGCTGCTGACGAAATCCTAACCGACCATCGAAGCCACTCGTGAGCGTCGATGAGTGGGTTCCGGAAATCCGGGCAAAGCGCGAAAAATGTGTCAGAAAAATGACGTGGAGCGGAATGCTGACAGTATCTGACACGGATGACATCAGGCGCAGTGCAACGACAACATACGGAGAACTTTGAATTGCAGTTATTCATTGGTACCGGTACACTTATCTTGGGTCAACCTTAGTTGTTTGAGGTTGATTTAGTAGGAAATTAAGCATGCGAATTGCTTTCAGCAAGACATTTGCACACCACTGTCAGAATCACTAGGCAAGAATGATTGAACTAGCAGAAGTTTGGGTACAAATATGAAACCCTAGTTGGGGTTGTACCCCATATTGGCTACCCCACTACAGCCTACAAGCATAATACAGTTTAACACACCCCCATAGGCAAAGTGGGGGAGAACAAAGGGTCACAAGACCAGTCCAGCAAAGCAAAGCAAAGCCCAGGGTGGATCACAACGTCACCACACTCCGAGCACAAGTAAAGGCCACAAGGCCAGTTCACATGCAGTGCTAGATATAGTACAAGACAAGTAACACAGTGATCAAAACCTAGCAAGCAAGCAACAAGATATATATAAAGTACAGTACAAAGAATGTCAAGCAGTGAGCAAGTGAGGAAACGTGGACACAAGGCCTAAAGAAGTACAGTGCCGCTGATGATCACTAGGCGGGAGCGCCTTGGTGAAGATATCAGCAGTGTTGGCCTTCGAGTCCACGTACACAAGCCGAAGCTGACCGCGCTGCTGAAGCTCTCGAGCAAGAAAGTAGCGAAGAGCAATGTGCTTCGTCCTGTGCTCCAGTCTGTGCTCCTGACACAAGGCAAGAGCCGCCTTGTTGTCACCGTACAGAACTGGCGGAGAACTAGGCCGCTCTCCCAAGTCAGTCAGCAGGTAGGTGAGCCAGCGTAACTCCTGTGCAGCCATGGCTGTGGCGTAGATCTCAGCCTCACAACTAGAGCCGAGAACAGAGGAAGAGCGGGTGGACCGCCACGAGACAGAACCAGAGCCAAGGCTGAAGGTGTAACCCTGTGACGACCGCTGCGTAGCCAGGTCGTCCACCCAAGAGGCGTCCGAGTGACCAGTGAGGACAACTCTGTCGCGTCCTCCAAGCACCAGCCCCATGCCTGATGTACTGCACAGGTACCGCAGCACCCTCTTAGCAGCCTCCCAGTGCTCTCGCCTGTGTCTCCCAGGCGCAACGTAACGAGCAAGGATACTAAGAGGGTACGCAAGGTCAGGTCGCGTGCAAGTCATCAGGTACATGAGGCAGCCTACAAGCTCTGGGTACGGGCCACTCGGCTCTACGGACTCGTCCGAAGGTGGAGCTGAGAGTGAGTGGCTGGTAGCCAGAGGTGTGGCCTGTGGTGAGGAGAACTGGAAGCCGAAGCGCTGAAGGACCTGCTGCACCATGTGTGACTGAGTCAGGGTGATGGTGCGACGGGCTCTGTCCCGGGTGATCTGCAAGCCAAGGTAGCTACGCAGTTCACCCAGGTCAGTGCAGGTGTGTCTCTTCTGCAGCTCCGACTTCACACGAGCGAGTGCCTCAGTGTCAGCAGTAGCAAAGACCAAGTCGTCGACGTACACGAGGATGTAGAACGGCGGCAGCGACGTGTCAGTGCGCAGAAACAGCGACGGGTCAGCAGTAGACGGCGCGAACCCAAGAGCCGCAAGAGTAGTCCTCAGTGTGTCGTGCCACTCACGTGGCGCCTGGCGGAGACCGTAGACTGGCCGGCGGAGGCTCCACTGGGTACCAGGGGGAAACGACCCAGTAAAGCCAGGTGGGCGGCGCAGCCAGATCTCCTCGTGCAGGCTGCCCTGCAGGAACGCTGTGCTGAAGTCAAGAGAGTGAAGCTCGTAGTCACGCTGAGCAGCAACGTGCAGCAAAACCCGAAGAGTGGTCATCTTCGGGGTGGGGGAGAAGGTCTGGAAGAAGTCGACCCCCTGACGCTGACTGAAGCCTCGAGCCACGTAACGCGCCTTGAAGACAGGCGGAGAACCCGGCGGCCGCTTCACCCTGAAAATCCACATGCCATCGACGATGTTCGCCCCAGGAGGGGGAACCTCGTCGACGTAGGTGCCTGTGGACTTCCAGGATGCCATCTCTGCGTCCATGGCTGTCTGCCACTGAGAGGAGTAGGGACCCGAGATCGCCTCTGCGTAAGTGCGCGGAGTGGGGATGTCTAGTGCATCCGGGTCTCCCTCAGGGGCAAGCAACCAGGCCACGAGATGAGGTACAGCAGCCGCAAGAGAGTCAAAGTCCTCCTGCCTGTCCTCAAGGACGTCCGTGCCAAGAGCACACTCACCCCCGACGGACGGAGGACAGACAGACGCAGACTCTGACTCAGCGACAAGGCTAGCAGCGTAGTCTAGACGACAGGCAGCAGCAAAGTCAACCAACTCAGCGACCAGAGCAGACGCAGCCGAGGACTCAAAGGTGGGGTCAGTGACAACAGTAGCAAGGAGACGCGTGACTGTAGGGTGCTCAGCGCGATACCGGTCAGACTCAGGGTCCGGAACGGCAGGCAAAGAGGACGCAGGAGGAGACGGTAGAGGGACACGCCGAGGAGCAGTAGAGGGACGCAGAGTCATGTAGTGAGTGCCTGGGACAGGAGGAGGACGCTCACGACGGACACGACTACCAGTGCGAGCAGGACGAACAGGTGACGCAGGACGAGACTCAGGCTCACGACGCTCTGTAAGACCTCCTGTGGGACCAGTATAAGGAGAGGGAGCAGGGAGAGGCGAGGCAGGCGGTAACTGTGACTGCGGCTGGACAGGCGGAGGACACTCTACGGAGGGAGGAGGACAAGGAGGAGGAGCCTGCCCAAGAACCTGCTGAAGGAGCGGTACGAAGTACGGTCGCGGCCGCGCAGCGTCTCCAGAAGCAGACGGGACTCCAGCGGCCGGGTCCTCAGCACCAGTAGGAGCTCCAGCGTCCGGGTCCACAGCACCAGCAGCAGCTCCACCGGCTGGGTCCCCAGCTCCAGTAGCAGCTCCACCGTCCGACTCCTCAGCACCAGCAGCAGCTCCACCAGGTGGGTCCGCAGCACCAGCAGCCGCGCCACCCCCAGAGTCGGCAGCTCCAACTCCGCTAGCACCGCCAGCGCCAGAGTCCCCAGCTCCAGCAGCTCCAGTACCCCCAGTACGAGCACCCCCAGGACGAGCAGCTCCAGCACCCCAAACTCCAGTCGAGCCACTAGGACGGCGAAAGCGTCGGACGTACCAGTCGCGAAGCTGCTGCGGTGTGAGAGACTGCTCAGCACCCCGAACCGGAGCACCCCCAGACGCAGTAACCCGAGGCTCCGTAGGCTCAGTAGCAGCACCCCCAGGCTCAGTACCCGCAGGCTCAGTACCCGCAGGCTCAGCACCCGCAGTCCCAGCACTCCCAGGCCCCGCACCCGTAGGCTCAGCACCCCCAGGCGCAGCACCCCCAGGCTCCGTACTCTCAGGCACCGTACCCTCAGCTCCAGCACCCTCAGTCCCAGCACCTGCAGCCCCAGCACCCCCAGGCCCAGCACCCCCAGGCTCAGTACTCCCAGCAGCACCACCCGCAGCAGCACCTGAGTCACCTGTGACCTCAACAGGCTCAGCGACGGGAGGAGGGTCTACCTGAGAGACACCTGAAGGAGCAGGACCCTGAGGGGGAAGGGGGTCTACCGGAGGGGGACCAGGAGCAAGGAAAAGCGGCGGGGGAGGGAGGGGGGCAGTGCGGTAGGGGAAGAGACGGTAAAAAGGGACCGACTCGTCAAAGGTGACATCCTGAGAGGCGAAGACCCGGCGCGAGGTGGGGTGGTAAAACTGCCAGCCAGGCGCGTCAGGGACAAAGCCAAGGAAGACACAGGGAAGCGTGCGGGAGGAGAGCTTGTCCGCGGACGTATCGCGGACAAGGGCACGAGCACCCCACACCCGGAAGCGCGACGCATCGCCAACCTCCCCCGTCCAACGCAGTGTGGGCGAGGTCTCCGGCAAGGAGACACGGGGCCAGAGGTTGAGCTGATGCGCGGCGTACCGGACAGCAAACGGCCACAGAAAATGGGGAGCCGCCGCGTGGACCAAGGAGGTACGAGCGATCTCCATGACCAGGCCAATGCGGCGCTCAGCAACCCCATTCTGCTGTGGGGAGTCCGGAAGCGTGAAGGTCTGCTCGATGCCCTCTGCCTGACAGAAGGTCCTCAGGAGATCGGAGGAAAACTCACCACCTCTGTCAGAGTGCAGACGCAGGACAGGAAGATCCGTCCGGAAACGGCGGCGGAGCTGGAGACGAACCGTGCGGATCCAAGGGATCAGAACAGCAGGGACCTCACCCTTGGTGCGCAAGGGGAAGACCGTGGTGTAACGCGAGTAGTCGTCGACAACCAGCAGAAAGTACCGCTCACCGCCCTGACCACGAACGCGGGCTGGGCCCCACACGTCCAGGTGGAGGGTCTCCAGAGGAGCCTCTGTCGGGGGGAACGAGGAGGAGTGAGGAGCGGCGCGCTGCCGCCCCTCGACGCAAGGAAGGCAAGGCGGCGCAGGCGAGGCAGGGAGGGGAGGGAGGGACCTGGGAAGACCAGACACAAGGAGGCGACGGTGCATGCCACGAAGGCGTGGCAAGGAGGGGTGACCCAGGCGGTGGTGCCAGAGAAGAGTCTGGTGCGACAGGGAACGACACTCACAGGCGTGGGCCACCAGACCTGACGCAGACACCTGACCGACAGCAGCTACCTGGGGAGACGCAGTGGTCAGTGTGTAGAGACTCGACCCCGGCCGACG